CAGACCAGCAGACCAGCAGACCAGCAGACCAGCAGACCAGCAGACCAGCAGACCAGCAGACCAGCAGACCAGCAGACCAGCAGACCAGCAGACCAAAAGACAAAGAAATCACGCAATAAACCAAAAAAATAATGACACTATACCTCGTCCAGGTTGTGATATCTGCTGTGGTAAGAAGAAGAACGGGCCTTAGGTATCTGTTGTTCTTTCAGCATTCTATCTACATCATCAATCTGTATGGTGAAGGCCATCTTGTTATCCTTCATCAGGCTAACAAAGGTGCTGTAATCCTGGTCTGGGACTTCCATGTCCACTGGACTCCCGATGCCATTTGGATGCTTCCAAAATTCGATCTAAGACAAAATAAACAAAATTTGTGTTCATCATAAAAGAACAATTCTCAGGAGAATGTCACGTGGTCTGAAATGGGAAATGTASCTGGTTAGGTTTTGCGGGGTTTGCGGGGGGAGGAAAACCGGAGAATCCGAAGGAATGCTTTCACATCAAAAGAGAGGACTCCAATAAACTCTACTCACAAGTGATGCCGAGTCAGAAATTCGAATTCGAGATCCCCAACGGTGATGTTCCTATCTTACCTTGAGATCTCTGGCGTTCTCGATGTAATCAATTACTTTTTTTTGAGCATCACTTTCAGGGATCACCCGAACGACCTTGATACTGAAAATGGATTAATATACAAGTTTAAGCTTTAATTCCTTTGGTCTTAAATATATAAAAAAGTAAATTAACTTTGTTTATAGTGGATATTACTTAACAGTAATTCAAGTATTATTTCTTTGTTTAACGGTTGCGCATTTAGAACAGAGTTAATAGTGAACTCTGTTTATATTAGAAGAAGCGTGAATATGGATACAACTAAAACAAACAATAGTCCCCTTCACAGTTCTCTGTATTATCTTGAAAGGTAACAGTGCCTTTACATCAGAGCAAGACGAAAGATGAGCTTTCAATGATAGAGACCTTTTTGTAACACCTTGGACAATTATTCACGTGTCTCTATCATTGCAATCTCACCGTTCGTCTCGCTTCGATGCAAAAGTACGGCTACCTTTCAAGATGGCGCAGGGAACTGTGAAAGGGACTATTGAAAAGATTGGGACTATCTATTGAAGAAAGGAAGATCACAAAATATAAATCGGTAAAAATRCATATTTGGCTTCATTTTCGAAACCTTGAAATTGATATTGGAAATGTTTACTTAACATAACAATTCAAATATATTTCCAATAAATATGAATAAAAACGAAAAATGCTTGAACATTTTCACACTTAAAAATAWAAAAATACTTAATATTTTACCCAGTTTTCAAAACATTCATAATAATTCGAAACAGTTAAGAAACAAAAATAAATTGGTTTGGAAACATTTCTTAAACATGACAATTATAATATATTATTTAGAACAAAGTATTGATATGAATAACGAACGTAACGTATGTCTTTTAGACTTGAGAAGGTCTGTAAAGACGAAACTAGTTCTCAAAACATAATTGACAAAAAATTTAAAAGGTTTAAAGCTCTTATCATGAAAGACTATCTCTTTCAAGAAGCCATTCAGTTAGAATTCCAATGCAAAGCTAGACTCATACCTTAGGGAATTTTGGAGAAGCAAAGAGAAAAGGTACAAACACAAAACTTGAAAGTTCATGTCGGAGGAGTTGCAAGAAGACAAGCTAACACTGAGATACTCCGTGCTTGGAGAATTGTCAACKACGAATTTTTATCTAGGCATAGGGAGAACATCTGAAAGATGAACGCACAGCATAACAAAGCTGATCTAATACAGACTTGGTTTTCGTTTGTAATATTTATYTAATTCCAAAGGTGTTTATGATTGCTTTAGTCCTATAGGCCAGCTTCGATACGACGTTGAGAGGAATTTACTCAGAATGGAATGTTGCTGTCAATTCAGGGACTATTTGAATTTCTTTCTTTTCTTTTTTTTTCTTTTTTTAATATCGCCTATGCAGCTTTTTCGATTCGTTTTCACCCGTCCACGCGTATTCGTTTTCGAAAAGATTCGTTTGAAGACCAATGCTCAAAAGAAAACATTTCTTTCACAAGAATATCTGGGTGACAACGTCGTTCAATAATTAACAATTATTCGCCTAAAGGGAAGTGAATATCGGGGAATAATTACCGAGTAAATATTCCCAATATTCACTGAGGCTGAGGCGAATAATTGTTTTAGTATTTTCAACACAAGTGAATATAATAGAAATAAGAGAGGTTTTTTTTTTTTTTTTTTGTTCAAATTCTATTTCTCTCTTCAAGCAGCACAAATCAACAAACGAGCGTGCGCATGCGCGCGTTATATTCACCTGGGCCCGGTTGTACGAATCCTGTATATATAGCGCTATCCTACGGATAAATCTTATCCAATGGATAATTTTATTGGATAACAGCATCGACTTATCCACTGGATAAGGATTTATTCGCCGAATAGCGCTATCCAGACTTCGTACAACCGGGCCCAGGGGAATGTAGCAGCATAAGACGTAAAATGTGACCAATGAGTTCACCGGATCTATTATATATATATTCACTTGTGTAAAAATACTAACGAAATGCGGTTATTAGCCTTTTAAGTTCCTCTGTCGAACTTTGAAATATTCTAAGGCTTTTTGAGCCGTTCAATTTTTACATGTATTATTTACCCCCACTTTTTATGCTGCAGCTAACCCAAATTCAGCACTATTGATTCCACATAAGTTAAAAAAACGATTGGTGAAATATTTTTTGATTTGATATAATGACTAGTTTGGAAGAAGTTGGATAGTTAGTGGCTGATACAACAATAGCTTATGAGTAACCGAACCATGAATAAAATAATGCGCTTTTTTTCCTCTTTTACTCCGACGAAGTTAAGGACTAGCGTCCGAAACGTCAGTAAGTTTTTTCATCTTTTCACGTTGCATAATTTACCCTTTTATTATTACTGTTTCATTAGGAACACCGACGAAGCTCACACTAGTTTTTAGCTAGTTATCTCTTGATTCTCTTCGCTTATTTTAAATATTATATAAAGTCTTTTTCTCTGTAACTTGAGCGTTGCGACACATGTTGCAAGATCGAACGATGTTCACACGGTGCAACGATAACTCAATCGTTGCCAAAAATCACAAAAAATCATACTTTTTGCAACGATTACTACAACTTGTTTTGCAACTTTTTTTCAAAAACTCCAGTTTCGAGTTCTCTTTGCTCAAACTTAGTCTCGGTTGTGCGTTAAAATCTTCAGCTATTCAACCAAARCCCGTGGCATTTTAATCAACTCGTATTGTTCCGTAGTACGTAAATTYCTTACTCTACAAAGAAAAGACAAGAACTCGTTTGTACACAATCGAGGCTATCTAAGACTGAGCAACTCGAAATGGGGGTATTGCGCGTTAGGTTACACGCTGCAATGCTCCATGCAACTTATCGAGACAAATTGCAGAGAAAATTGCTCCTTGTAACTATTAAGCTATTTAAAGACTATTATATTTGAAACGTTGAATATAAGGTGCACTGTATAGTCTTATGTAAACGCGTGAATCGAAGGATATGGTTCATTTTTGAATATAAAAAAATATATCATTCTATTACTRTCAGAAGACATGGTTCATGGTTCTGATCAAAACCATCAATGTTATTCAATTCATTTTACGAACAAAAACATAAAATAATAATAAATGTTATCTGTTAAATGTTAAATATTGAATATCTTATAAATAATTTATAATTTAAAAAGTTTGCGAATGGCCTTATGGTAATGAACGGAGATTGGAGTTAAGACATTCACTAATATGATAGATAAAGTCCTTTATTGTGAAGCAACCACCTTTAGAAGGGAAATGTAACAGAGCGTGCACTCATTCAAATTGAAAGTTCTAATTTTATACAAAAAATCTTCTGAGTTTGACAGCAATGCCGCGCTGTTTTTGATAGCGCCTTTTTTTCACACACTAGAGAAAGCAACCAAAGTATTTCGAAAAGCRCTGTATATTTTTCGATTATCAGTTTTATATTTTCTACATTTAACTTGCGATCGCGATGATGGATAAACAACTTTCGAGCCAAGTTCCATCCAGTATCTGCAATGAGCAACATATTATGTTTCAAGTCATTGGAGCCAAAAGATTCCGCTTTTGGATAATGAATTTATTATTATTATAATTATACAGCTTCAACATTAACAGCATGGAGTCCTGTTACATATACTTATTTTTTTATATATTCCCTTGGTGTGTTTTCGTTGGCTGTTTTTTTTTTCTCAGAAAGTTGAGCAAATCGAACGACGGCCATTTTGAATTTTCGTTACGAATATTATATGAGCTGATAGCCTAGTAATAAGAGCTGAAAATCAGTTATCCAGTGCATTTTGTCTATATAATAAATATRTATTATTCTCTAAATCACTTGATATATAACATACAATGCTTTTTTCCAAATGTTCCACAAAAATGTAAATGGAATTGCTAATTAGATTTGACTTTGTCTTCGCTTACAAGTTTTAGCAAAGTCAATCTAAATAATGTCTTTGGACATCAGTAAAAGTGTATGATTGTACAAAATTATAATTCATATTCACGTGTTTCTATAGACTATACACCGAGGCAGTGTTTACGCGGTATGTTGACCAATACCAAGAGACCATGAAGGACAGCGTCTTGCCAATATACATACCGTTTGAACACGGAACCGTMAAATACGTTCTGTTCACACGAAACCGGATTCAAATTTGACGGCTGGGCGTACGAGTTTCTGTCCGAACAGCAGYCCCAGCATTTCAATAAAACAGAAAAGCGACAAGCGGAGGAATAAAATGTCTTGAATCAATGAAAAGTTAAACTTACCACAAAGGCTGCGTTTACACGTGACGGACACATTTTTAACCGCTCAAAAAGTTTACGTTTAGGGGGACTGAAAAAAATTCGTTCGCCGAGTCGTTCGAATTTGGATCCGGTTCAATGTAAACAGAACGTATTTAACGCAGGTAAACGCAGTCTGAAAGTACTTAACTTGAGAACGAATGTATTACTCTTGACAGTATGAAATATTTTCAAATTAATATTGGTTTATAGATATATTATTACACTTTAATAAAATGGTGATAATGGAATTTTTCAAAAATATATATTGACTTTTGCAGTAAATTCTCGTTATCATGTACTGTTTGTATCAACCATATATCAAAAGCGTCCATTCCGTAAGCATAGTAGTGTTATTCAATTTATATCATGGACGGACCTTTTCATGTCCGGATTGCGCTTGAGTGCTTTAAAAATAAACTTTAAAAGTCCTTTATTGTAAAGCAACCAGCCGATCGATCGAAATGGAAAAATTTAACAGAGCGTGCACTGATTTCAAAGTTTAATTAAAGTTCTGTCAAGAGAGAAAGAAAACGTGACGTATTTTCAAAATGTTTTTTCGAAGGAAATAATTTTAAACATTSATGACAAATTATATATTATGTCCCTTAGCAAAATAGACTTCGTGGTTAATTCTCCAGTTATCAATTCTCCATTAGCTGTGCAAATATCTATATAGGAATTCATTATTGCTACGAGCACGTACAAGCTTAGGAGTTTTATTTCTGGCTCTGTAGCTCCCCTTCTCACATTTTCGCCTCTTGGTCACACCTTTAATTATTTACATCCCTTAGTTTAGCTATCATTTATAATGTTTATTATATATTTACTTTACTTCTATACACTTGTTTCAGTTCTAGCTATATTCATTCCTTAAATTTTTACTCGAATATTTTCCATTTGAATTAATATAAGCCTAGGAATGCYTTTAGTGATCCAATCACAGCTCATTGATTTTATGAGAGATATCATTGATTGGCAACTGCGCCATTARTGAACTTAGAATGGAACTAAGAATCAGAAGAGCAATAAACTTTCAAAGGGGGGGGTTCCGTTTCTTAAACTGTGTATATTTCTCTTTTGTTTAGTCGATGTCTGACAAAAAAATTGGCTCTAATCACCTAATTTACTATCTAGTAACGGAACKTAAAGGTAAATTAAACATTATAACAGCAAATATTTATCATTTCGTGTTCAACATTATCCTTGTGGATACTTTTAAGCAAAATTCATATAAGACATATTTCTATTACCTAAAAGATCAAACCTTCAAGGGGGGTTCCGTGGAACCCTTCGAACCCCCCCTGGATCCGCCACTGGGAAGCATCTGGAAGCATCTAAAATCTAAATTTCTCACATCAGCTTTTCCTCGCTTGCTCTCTGTATTTCATAGGCATAATAAAATAA